CAGTGTTCACTCCAAATGATGTGCTAGTAATCACATCCATACTGTAGGCCCCAAAGATGCTGAGGAGAGAAAGAAACATATGGAAGTTAAAGCCAGCACCACTTTATTCTGCATACCCAGCACAGGCACCAGGAAGACCATGTAACTTCATAACCAGGGACGACAGGGAGACACACACTCTCAGAGCCACTTGCTGGGCCAGTTGAGGTGTCTATGCTGCCATCACACTCACTCCTGGGGTGTTCATGAGGTGCCAGTGATACGTGTTGGCCCTGTGCTGTGGGTACGGTGGCACTGAGATCAGAGACCCACCTCTGAGCTCAAGGAGTTTGGCCGCAGAGGGATGGAGACCCACAATCAGACAAAATGCAGTCGTGTGTTTTGAGTGTGGGCCACAGGAGGTGTGAGCCTGTGCTTGATGAGGACAAAGGGTGGAGTAATGAACTCTTCCTGGGCATCAAGAAAGGTGACATTGAGCTGGGTCTTGCGTCACCACAGCAGCTACGCTCAGCTGATTCCTCTTCAGCACACACAGAACAGCAACACCCTGTTCTCAGTTGTTAACAATACCCTCCCTCCCTGTCTACAAGCCTGTTAAGTCTCCTGGGAGACCCACTCTTCCTCAGCTACCGTGATCTGAGGGTGCCCTGAGGGCAGACTCGCATCTGTAAATGTAGAACTGAGAAAGCTTTTGTTTAAAAAAATAATGTTATATCACTCGGATTCTGATTTTGGGATCCCATAACAGTGATCGCATGTCCCAGTTGTCCCAGGACAGCCCAGGATACACCTGTTTCTGAGTAATTAAATATCTGGGCTTAGACTGTAACCTTATGGTTACCTTACCCATAGCCTGTAGGCGGCCTCCTCTGTTTAGAGACTGAAGGAAAGAGATGCAAGGGTAAGGATCAATATGTAGTATTTTGCTGATTTCCTCAGCAAATGGTGAAGGGATTTAGGTTGTTCCAAGTTCCCCACTGTAACTTTCCTGTCCCTCCCAGTGCCCACCAGTAAGCACCAGGTGCCTTCCCCTCCCACCATTCCACGGACTCTTCTCTCACAACTTTGATCTGATCATGTCTCTTCATGCTAAGCTATGTATTTTTGTCTTCCAGAATATCCAAGGCCAACAGTAGCATATAAAGTGAGTACCCGTGTGCACAGAAGCAGACCCTTTCTCTGCTGGCTGCCCCATCTGTTGGTCACTCCCTGGTGACCCACTGGAGTTCTACCCCCACACACCCGCTTCTGCTCTGGCACTGGGGTAACTCCTCTGCGGGAGTGTCAGCTCCGTGGCAGCAGCGGGAAGGCCTCAGGGCAGAGCTCAGAATCCCAGCAGCTGCCTTCCCCCTTACTCTTTCATGGTGATGGGCTTGCTCGTCTCTGCCTCCCTCCTCAGGTTCCTCACCAGCACATCTCCATACTGGCCAATGATGGGGAACATCTAGATGGAAAATAAGACGCACTCAAAATAAATGCCAAGGTACGTGCTAGAAGGACATGGCATTCACAAGCATGGAGCAGGAAGTCACAATTTATAACAAATCTTACCTTGTCTCTTCTAACACATAAAGACAAAATAACTTTTCTAGAAAGCTGTAATCAAGCAGACTGCCTTTTGGAAATAGGCTGTCATATTTTGCACCTGTCTTCAGATGCAAAAGTTACTGTACATTACTAATTAGAAGTCCTCTTATCTTCTTATATCCTTGAGTTTTCCACTGGTGAAAGTTGGGGACAGCAATGCTCGTATTCTCTTCCATTCTTCATCCTCAGACATGGAGACTGCAGTTTTCATAAATCCCACTGGAGCAAGTTTCTAGAGTCAAAAACAAAGGAAATTTAGACCAACAGTTGGGGAGGTCTCTAGTGTTGTGTAATATTTGCTAAATGGGCACCAAATATCCAAGAAATATTTAGTGAGGGTCTACTTAGTAGCAGGCCTTATGCTAGATGGTCAATAAATATTTATCCCATAAGGCCTAGCTCCTGTGCGGGTTCAGGAGACATCCATGCATCTGATGCAGTTTCCAGGTTTATGTTGCAATCATCTTTTATGTGCACTTGACCCATGTGGAAGGAAAACTATTCTTCCATGGGAATAGAGTATAAAGAACCAGTATATTCTCCTGGGCTCTGCAGAGTAGAACTGGATTTGAGACAGACAGCCAGGTAGCCTGGTGAACTATCTGCCCCAGACCCATTCTATGTTTACATGTATCTACATCGTGAACAACTCAAAAAATGGATGTCTTGATAGAGTGATTAAAAAATATATTAATACTTAAAAACTAGAAATCTATTTGATATTTTGAAGAAGTGTTGCAATTACCTGGAATCTTCTTCCTCTGCATTTTTCACCCAAGGGGAGAAGGGAAAAGAGAGATGCAATTCTGTTTCTCACCTTGCAACTGGCCTATCCAACCAACATGCTTGAAACTTTCCTCTATCTTCCAAAATTATATTTTGTTTTAAAATAGGTATCTCCACCACCCTTTTATGATAAACACTCACAAACTAGGGGAGAGAGAAACTTCTTTAACTTGATATCAAGTGTACCTTATAGAGCCAACATACTTAATGATGGAAGAGTGAGTGACATCACCAAGATGGCAGAAGAGCCTCCAGGCCCAAAAATACAACAGCAGTGAGCTATCAACAACAAAAAATTGGCCCAAGAGAGTTCAGCTACCCATTTAGAAAATTCAGTAAATATTAGAGTGTAAAACTGAGAATAACTGCACAAAGGTTTTTGTTTTGCCTGCACCACCTTATGCTCTGCTCAGTGCCAAGAGGGAGCTCCCCAGCCTGACAGTGGTCCCCTTGAGGGGAGAGGACAGCAGGTGAGTCCCCAGGTTCTCCAGCCTTTCAGGGCACTGCACAAATGACCCACTTTGGTGCCACTGCACCCAAAGGGTGACATAGCTGAGCCATCTAGAGACAGCTAGGAAGAAAGGAGGGACAGGACTACCAGCATCAGCCATGCAGCTGGAGGGACTGTGGTTCTGTATATTGTCCTCTGCAAAAGATCTCAGAAACCTTTGCTGATGAGGAAAACAACAGCTAGCACAGCCACTGCAGACCCCGTACTGATTTTGCTGCCTTATCCCAAGAGTTTCATATTGGACATATGCCTGCAGTCAGGGCCCATAGATGAGACTCATATGTGCTCAGCACCCACCTGGCTACCACCTCTGCATGCCCCAGTCCCTTAGCACTGAGCCTGGAAGTGCTGCTGAGGACCCTCACAGCCCTGGCAGCCACTGTGGTCCCTCCACACCCGTTGCTGCAAAGGATCATGAATTGCTCATATTCTGAACCTCAGCTGCCTAAACCAACCATGCTCTCCCAGAATGGGAGCACCACACACACACTGACACTTGCCATCCCGCCCCGCTAGACTGAGGGCCACAGCGCACTCCCACACGCCCCAGCCTGCAAGAGAAGGTTTTTCCTTCCTGAAATTAGTTCATGAAGTCTGGAAGAGCTAACTGCTTCTTCAAAAGCACAGACACCATTGCAACACTACAGGGATCATGAAGAATCAGGGAAACATGACACTACCAAAGGAACACAATGAACTTACAATAACTGACCCTGAAGAAATGGAAATCAACAAATTGACTCACAAAGAACTCAAAATAATTGTTCTCAGGAAGTCATAAAAGCTACAAGAGAAACAGAAAAAATGGTTTAACAAAATTAGAAAAGAATTTAAAAAACAATGAGTTCAACAAGGAGACATAAAACAGAAAAAAAGAAAGTTTAAAGCTAAAGAATGCAACATAATTACAAAAGAAGACTCAATCAAGCAGAAGAATCAGTGAACTCAAAGACAGGGCATTTGTGATTGTCCAGGAAATAGTAGAAAAAAACATGAAAAGAAATGAAGAAAGCCTACATGACTTATGGGATACCACCAAGTGAAACAATATTCATGTTATTAGAGTCCTAGAAAAAGAAAGGGGCAGAATGCTTATTTAGAGAAATAATGGATGAAAACTTCTCAACCCTTGGTGAATATATGGATTTCATAATACCTGCAGCTCAATGATCCCCAATGAACTTGAATCCAAGAATTCATGAAAATGCATCATAATAAAAATGTCAAAAATCATAGAAGAATAGAGTGTCTTGAAAGCAGCATGAGTAAAGGAGACTATCATATACAACAGAATGCTCATAAGGCTATAAGTGGATTTTTCAACAGGAACCTTGAAATCCAGGAGATAGTGGGATTCAAAATGCTAAAGGGAAAAACTGCTAATTAAGTATACTTGAAATGGAGAAGTGAGTTTTTATAAGTGAAAGAGAGATAATGACATTTCCAGAGAAACAAAAGTAGAAAGGGTTCATCACAACCAGAACTGTCTTACCATAACTGCTAAAGGGAGGTCTTCACACTGAAAATAAGGGACATTAACTAATAACATGAAATCATTTGAAAGGATAAAACTTACTGGTAAATGTAAATATATAGTCAAATCAGAATACAATAGGATTGTAATTGCTCTGTGTAAATCACATATAGCTCTAATGTAAAGTTTAAGAGATAAGAATTAAAAACAGCTACAGCTAAAATAATTTGTTAGTGGATGCACAATAAAAACATGCAAATTGTGACATCAAATATATAAAATGGGTGTTCAGCAGTAAAAGCATTGAGCTTTTAGATGAGAACAGCATAAAATAGGTAGCTTAAAATAGACTGCTACATCTATGCATGTTTTATGTGAGCCTCATGGTAACCACAAAGCAAAAATGTATCTTAGATACAGAAAAAAAAACCAGTAAGGACTCAGAGTATACCACTATAAAAAACCATGAAGTCACAAGAAAGAGAGGAAGAAGGAACAAAGGGTCTATGAAATACTTGGATTAACAGTGTCAATGGTAAATCTTTACTATGAATAATTACTTTATATGTAGTTGGACAGAATAATGGACAAAGGAAATATATACACACACACACACATATATGTTAAATGGATTATTGTTCATACTTAAGAAAGAAGGGAATCTTGCCATTTCCCACAACATGGAAGAACCTGGAGAACAACATGCTAAGTGAATTAAGCCAGACACAGAAGAGTAAATAACACTTTGTCTCACTTATATGTAGAATTGAAAAAATGAAGTTAAGGTTATAGGAACAGAGAGTAGAATAGTAGATATGTTCTAGGCAGAGTGGGTAGGGGTGATAGTGATCAAAGGCCACAAATTTGCAAATATACAATGAATAAGTTCTAGAGAGCTAATGTATACATGGTGACCTTAGTCAAACTGTGTTGTGTACTAGACACTTGCTGATAGTAGATCTAAAGTGTAGTATATGAGAAAAAGAAATAAAAGGCACACAGCTGGAGAGATAAAAAAACAAGTGCCTCCATTTTCAGGTGACATGACTGTCAATGTTGAAAAACTCAAATAGAAGAAGAAAATCTCTAGAACTAATAAATGAGCTCAGCATGGTTGTAGCAAACAAGGCCAACACACAAAAATCAACCGAATTTCTATATAATAACACATCAGAAACAATGTCATTTACAGTCACTCCAAAGAAAATGAAATACTTCAGGTATAAAGTTAATGAAATATGTATGGGACATCTATATCAAAAACTACAAAATATGGGTGAAAGGATTCCAAGAAACAGTTAATACATGGAAAGTTACACAATGTTCATGGAATGAAAGACTTGACCTGGGAAAGATAAAGGGTTTCCCTAACTTGCTTCATAGGTTTAAATTAATTCCTATCAAAAGCTCAACAACTATTTTGTAAACATACATAAGCTTATTCTAAATTTGTAAGGAAAGGGAAAGGACCTAGAATAGCTAAAACAATCATGAAAGAAAGTGGGAGGTATCACTCTACATGAGTTTAAGACTCACCATAAACTGACAGTAATCAAGGTTGGGGGTATTGGAGGTTGGAGAATTACATCGATCAATGAATAGAACAGAGAATGAGAAATGGACCCACACGAACAGGCCCAACTCATTTTTGACAATGGTGCAAAAGCAATGGAGGAAGAATAGCCTTTTCACAATGTGTGGGGAGCAATTTGACATCACAAGGAAAAAAATGAACCTTGACCTAAGCCTCACCCTTTATAAAAAAATTAACACAAAATGTATTGTAGACTTAAATATAAAAAAAACCTACATAACTTTTAGAAAAAATAATTGGAGAAAATCTTTGGATCTAGGGGTAGGTGAAGAGGTTTCAGACTTGACACCAAATTCAGAACCCACAAAAGGAAAAATCAATAGATGAGCCTTATCAAAATAAAGAAGTTTGTTCTGCTGAAGATCCTGATAAGAGGAAAAGATAGGTGAACACAATGACTATAAAAGAATAGTAGGAGGGAGCCTGTTAGTGGTGGAAGAGTTCCATCATTTGATTGTGGTGGGAGTTACACTAATTGACATAAATGTAAAGTTTAATAGAGCTACTTTTGGTTCAGAAAAAGATGGCTGTGTGTGAAGTGAGACAGAAACCTCCTCCCAAAATCACATATAACATGAAAATACAGCAAATACAACTAATTCTGAAAGAGTGCCCTGAAGCCTACAAAACAGATTACTTACATCTGGGGAAAAGAGAAGACCTCACAGAAAAGGGTAAAGGCACAAAGCCACAATCCAGCAGGACCCAAGCCTTTCCCCCACCTCAGCCCACAGGCAGGAGGAAGAGAAAAGGATCAGGGAGGGAGTAGAAGCCCAGGACTGCTAAACACCCAACCCTGGAGATGTGCTTCAGGAGCACAAACCCGCATTACATGGTGCTCTGGAGATCTGAGGAATTGGAAAGCAAAGACAGGCAGAAAACCTAGAGAGACTGAGAGTACAGTTGCTTGTGAAGAACAGATATGCACAACTGGCCCCTCTGGGACAAAAGAAAGGCAGGCACTTTGAAAGATTTCCCAACAGCAAGAGGGGTGCTAAAGGGGCAAAGAGCACACAGAGCTTGTTGCTCAGGAGAAAAGACATGTGGACAGAATTGTTTGGATATAGTCATCCCGGTAGGTTGGGAACACTCATGAGCTTCAGATGCACCATCCCATGGCTGGCAACGTGATTCCAAGGTGCCCCACTGCTGTATGCAGCCTGAAGCTCCTTCCGGCAGGCACCGGTCCATACACTTGCTGCCCCACCATCATGCCAGGCCAACAGGAGGAAGGAGCTCTACCCACGGCAGCTATAGGGACATAACACAGAGGCTCCTCCCTGTATGCACAGACTACTGGACCGGGCAGTGGAGGCAGGCATTACAGCCAGGAAGCAGGAAAGAGCTCTTTACTCATGGCAGGCACTGGTGCTGCTGCCTGCGACCCTGCCAATGCTCCAGGTGCTCGGCAGCTCCAGAGAGTAGAGCTTCTGGACACTAGAGGGTGCCATGTACACAAAGTTATTATTCGGTACAAATCACTAAAACATGGAATTGCAAAAAAAATTTGCCCAAACAAAAATTCAGGAAAGGATGCCAGAAAGAGGACTAGGTGAAACTGAAATCACCAGTCTTCTTGATAAAGATTTCAAACTAAAAATTATAAACATGATCATGGAGCTACAGAAAAATATTCAAGATCTCAAGGAGAACTTCAAAAAAGAGATAGAAACTTTGAAAAATACTGTATCTGAAATGAAACAGACAATGAAGGGATTTAAAAGTAGATTAGATGAGGTAGAGGAGATGGTAAATTAAATAGAAATTAGAGAACAGGAAAACAAACAAGCAGAGGCACAAAGAGAAATAAGGATCCTTAGGAATGAAAGAATAATAAGAGAACTGTGCGACCAATTTAAATGGAACAATATTCACCTTTATAGGGGTACCAGAAAAAGAGAGAGAAAAAGGGATAGAAAGTCTCTTTGAGGAAATAATTGCTGAAAACATCCCAGAGATGAAGCAATACATGGAGACAAATGAAAATAACAACTCACAGCCCAAAACCTGTGGGATGCAGCGAAGACAGTTCTTAGAAGAAAGTATATTGCAGTACATGCTTATGTCAAGAAAGAAGAAAAATTCCAAATGAACAGTCTAAACTCACAATGAAACTAGGAAAAGAAGAACAAAGGAGGCCCAAAATCAGTAGAAGGATGAACATAATAAAGGTCAGAGCAGAAATAAACAAAATTGAGAAGAATAAAACAATAGAAAGAATCAATGAAACTAGGAGCTGGTTCTTCAAGAAAATAAACAAAATGGATAATCCCCTAGCCAGACTTATAGAGAAAAATGTTTCATAGAGCAATGCACACACACAGACACACACTCAGATGAGTGCACATAACACTGTGAAAATCTGATTCACTCTGTGGGTAACACTGATGTCAGACTTCCTGCTTTGATATTGTACTACAGCTATACAGACATTACCATCCGGGGGCACTGGATGAAGGGTACATGACATGGGACCACCCTGGACATTTTGGAGGCAACTTAATAAATAAATAAATAAAATTGTAAATTAAGAAGTGGGTGCCTACCTGCCGGTTTGTGAAGAAAGAATAACATTTCTTCACTAGTATGGCTTTGATCATGTCCGGATCCGTAATAGCCAGTACAGGCTGTCGACCATCATAAAACCTGTGAGGGGAAAAGAGCTGATGACATTTAACAAACCGGTATCTGCAGCTGGAATCACAGTAGAAGTCTGAAATTTCATCCTGATGTTACATAATCCATACTCTAGAAATCACAGTTAGAAAGAACATTAGTTAACTCAAGGTGGTGTGTACATGGGTATTTTCTATACCATTCTCCACAATATTTGTATGTTTAAAACATTTTCAGAAAGCTAATTAGGTTAGTAGATGATTGAAGGCAATTAAAGTAAGACAAAAAATTACTGATGGAAAGACCACCCAATTCAACCATTAAAAATCATGATTTGAAAATACATAAAAAATATTAACACTATGTATAAAATAATATTAGATGAAAACTGTAGGCATACTGATCACAAATATGGAAAAATGTGTCTGCAAATGAAAAAACTTGGAATGCTTCAAAAGTGAGAGCAGGATTATGACTGGTTTTCTGCCCTATTTTCACAATTAGCTTACTTGTAGAATATGATTTTAACTATTAAAGACAGGTAATTCACAGAAGTAAGGTTAGAAAAATTTGAACAAAAGGACAAAGTGGATAATGTAACACAGAGGAGCACATATAATTCACTTGTTCAATATTTTCTTCTCATCACATGTTTCTTCTTAAACCTGGGTCCAGAGGGCCCTGAGCTCCATGTAGGAGGCTCCCCTTAGCAGCAGGGCAGGCTCACTGTGACCCACACACCACACAAAGGGACTCCTTGTCTGTGACACATCCCAGTTCGGCCTGACCTCCTCGCTGTCAAAATGCCCATTACTGGGGATGGGCCCCTGGCACCAGGTTAAGTACAAACTTAATCACACTGTCCTCTGGTCCTTCTTCAAAATGACATTTAAATCCAAAATTTAAACAAAGGATTTTTGGCTTTTTTTTTATTTTTAGGATTTTGGCCTTTACTGAAAGGTGAATTATGTGGGAAAAGGGTCACAGAATGCATTCATGAGCACACATTAGAAGGTCTGAAATAATGCATTCTATGCAATCAAAGGGGACGTAAGGAAGGAAAATGTAGAGGAAGGGAGAGCGCGGCATGGGCAGGGAGGGACGCTACAGTCCCTGAGCCACCAACGTCTGGAGAGAAGCGATGCCCTGCCACCCTCCAGGCCTGATGCAGACCAGAGATGGGAGCCTGTGACAGATGGGAGCCCTCGTAAGACCAGCCCCCAAAAGCTTTCTGGCAAATGACCTCATCTCAAGAAGCTCTGCACTAAGACCGGCCTGCACACCAATGGGGGCCTCAGCATAGCAAGTCTATGCAGTGGAAGTTTCCAGAATACTCACCCCCACATCTTTCCATAGGTTTTAAAACATTTGTTGTCAAAATCCCAAAAGCCCTGCAAGGAGAAATGAAATTATATTGTTTATGTGAATGGATTGAACCCTACCTAAAATCGGTTCATAAATGACTCAAATGGCATGAAATCAAGCAAACTACCTTTCACTGGCAGTTAGAGGGAAGCCCTGTATGGCATGTTTGTACAGAGCATTCAGAGAAAACAACAGGGTGCCTTGTAGCAGTTCACTAAGCATGTGAGCTGGAGTCAGCCTGTCCAGTGCGTAGCTTGAGCTCTAGGCAGCATTTCTCCTCCCCTGTCTGAGGGCAGAGGGGAGAAAATAGGAGAGAGATTTGAAAAGGAGAATTTAAAGTCACTCCTGAGTTTTCTCCCAGGATGGTGGGTACTGATCACTTACCGTGTCTGTGGATACCAGGTAAGAGCTTGTCTTTCTGACCTGTCTGTGCATGTGTTGTCTCTAACATCTCCAAATTCTCTGAGTTATCACCTCCATAGACACCTGAGGACACCGAGCTGGGGGAGGCAGAGTGGCCTGATATCTTGTCAATGGGTTGCAGCCCCGGGCAAGTTCACTATGGATTCAGTGTGACCGAAGAAATGACAGTAGAATGTTATTGGGGTGAAAGGGCATACCCAACTTTATTTCCATGGTGGCAGGTCAATTACAAAAATCCCATCCACTCAGAGCGAGTCTGCACACAGCAAGCCAGTCTCTGCCTCTGGGCCTCTCGGCCTGCACAGCCGTCCCAGGCTCTGTCCTCAGCACTGCCACCACTCCAGCCTCTGCTCTGCTCTCCCGCAGCCTTGCAGCCGTGCCATCGTGTCGCCCAGATCACTGGGCAGAGCTGTTTATATAGAGTCAACAGCAACATATTGCCCACGTGTGTAGTGAGCTAGCCAACCAGGGTCAGGTGAGAGTCCTGGCCACAGGAACGTTCATGTCCACACCTGAGTACTCCTCAGCAGCCTTCCTTTGTCTCACAAGCCTCTCTAGAATTCTAGTGGAATTAGGAACTTAAAGACTTCAGGGACCTCCTTTCCTCTAGAGGATTCAATAAGACTCAGGCATGCTTACTGAGTAGAAAGTGAGTGAATGAATGAATGACCAGAGAACTCGCTTTCCAGTTTCCAGCTCAACCCAGAGAAGGTGGGAAGGTGCCTCCACTGCAGGCGGGAATAAAGAAAGCACAGCGCTGGCTCTCAGTTTTCACTTCTGGAATTAAAAAATGCCTCTTCCTCTCACTAAGTTTCAGCTGTGGTATTTGAGGTTTTAACTATACAAAGATTGTGACAGAAATGTGGATATTCAGGTACCTCTACTAAGGAGTGGATCTGGGAAAGTGGAAAGGAACTTACTGCTTTCTCACAAGGAAAAATGTGTGACTAGGAAAAAATACAGCACGTTTCTGGGATACTAGGCCTAGTTGGGGGAATTAGGATCTGAGAGACAAGACTGTGTCTGCAGGAAAGGAAATCTGAGGCAGAGGGCAGCCTGCTTGCAAGGCACTGCCTCCTGGCCTCCTGGACATGAGATGGTCCCTTCTGTCCAGGGTCCGGACCTGGGGTGAGGGGTCAGAGCATGATTAGCCACAAAGGCTCCACCAAGATTCACAGTTCATGCATCACCATTCTGCTCAGTGAAACTTGAACAACTTCATCAAATCATACACTTTCTAGTGACTTTATCTAATGATTCTGTCTTTGTAACAGCTCATTCAGAGATCAAATATCTGAGTTTGGACAACCACCATCCTGTCTCAGTTACCCCCACTGCCCACTCAGCCCACCCACACACGCTGCCTCCTTTAAAGGCCCACAAGGAGGCAGAAAGCTCCTGTCCATCTCTCAAACCCCAAAGATGCCCTGGGGAGCAGAGTGGAGCACTGCCGTGGACACAAGTGCGGGCTCAGCAGTTCTGTGAGAACTCCGGCATGCACAAATGACCCCAGGATGGATCCTCGGGCTGACCAACAAACAGCAGGTGCACAGCTATCCAGGAGGGGAGAAGAAACACTGGCTAGAGCTCATGCTATGCACTGCACAGTCTGACTCCAGCTCACACACTTAGTGAACTGCTACGAGGGACCCTGTTGTGGTTTTCTCCGAATGCTCTGTACAAACTTGCCATCCAGGGAATCTGCACAGAGCAAAACAAAATTGTCTTAATGATGCTCACAAGGTGGAACATCAAGGCCTGTGCTGGGCAGCACCTGGCAATGCTGGGTGTCTGTACACACCGCGTTTCAGGAAAGTGTGACCTCAGAACTTCCTCCTGGGGATGGGCAATTTTACTGTTCAGCTAAACTGGGATTTGCGACCACAAGAAGCAAAGTGGGAACTCAACACTCACTTTGCGGTAAGACAGGACAGTTCCAAAAAGAGGCAGCGGTGTCGGCCCAGGAATTCCCAGCTTCTTAAAAAGTCCATGCAAGTAGGTCACATATCTATGAAGTGAATCAGAAGGCAGGTCACAGGGACTGTGGAGCAGCTGCCGGGGCTGCCGGGCACTGACTGGGAACGGGAGCCAGGAAACTTGGGCCGAAGTGTGTGGGCCGGAAACACCAGCAGCCAGTCCAAGGGCAATGATGCTCATCATCTTCTTCCTGGCTCCTTGGGGACCCCCACCAATTTAGTGGTGATTAGCTTATGGCAGCTGAGGACTTCATGTCAGAGTGTTCTTAAAATTCTGTAGACTGTAAAGTCCGTCATCTTTCCTGTGTTTCCCTTGGGTAGGCATGAGGAGGGCACTGCCTACAGCTACTGGCTCTTGGCTGCACTGGCATCTTCTAAGGCTCCTGTGTCTGCTGCCTGGTGGTGACTGTACCTAATGACAGCCCCACAGCCAAACACACCCCGCACAGTGTGGATTGGCTGACAGCAGTGCGTGGCCTAATCGGGGTGATTTACCTTCTTCTCCCACTAGATGGCAGACGTATGTGCAGCTTCAACAGGTGTTAATGGGAGTTGGACATGAAAATTATTTACAATATGGACCATCAGGGTCTAGATGAGGAGTTGTTCACTGTGGGAATAGGAAATCTGGGGCTCCACACAGCTCTCCCAATCCGTCTTTGGGTCCCTAGTGGCTATTCTTTCCCTCACTTAGGGCAACCCATAAGTGAGGTTGCTTGTACTACTATAGCAGGTCTGGGAGAGGCAGAGCCGATGAGAGCAGGAAGGAGATACAGTCTGCTACTGAGAGAAAGCATTTAAAGGGCCCCATGAAGGTCTGGAGGACCCAGGTGTGGCTTGATTTGTTAAAGGCAGGAGTAGTGAAAAAGAAACTAGATGGACAGCCCAATCAGATATTACTAGAGCTGTGGTGACAGTTTAAGCCAGAGCAGCAGTTCCAGCCCCTGAGGTCCAAGAAATGGAAGTCAAAGGCAAAGCCACACGTCCGGCCCGGGTGTCTGCAGGCTTCCTGGGGGAGAGGGTGTGCAGACCCTGGCCTGACCCTGCTGGACGATGATTGGGTGTTTTGTTCTGACTGAGGGAAGGATCAAGGCACTCGCTTTCGGGGACTGGCTGCAGCCACTTGTTGAGTAATTTAGTAAATTATTAGTCCCCATTGAATTTGTTGTGTGTCCTGGCTCTGGTAGACACAGGAGCTGAATAATCTCTGATATATTGTGACTCCGAGTGGTTTCTTGGGACCCCCACTGATGTGAATGGTGGCAGGGGTGGGGCTGTCCTAGTGCAACAAGCTCAAATGCCCTTGGAAACTGGGGATCTAATATTATGTATGATGTTATGCTCCCTTGTGATTCTCTTACAGATAACTGTGGCATTGCAAGAGGCTTTTGTCCTGTAAGCTACTGGAGAGTGTTTACCCCACACTTGGAACGAACTCTGAGGCCCTTTTGCCCTTTGGTATGAAAAGGCATCAGGGCGGCTGGGATGAAATGTGAGCATTTACCTCTGCCACTGCAGGACAGGCAGTCAAGGCTGTGACGGTCTTGTGTGAGGAAGACCCATCAAGACCCTTTGAGCTGCATGTCCATGTGACTGAAGATGGCTATGGCTGGGGCCTCTGGCAGTGGCTCGCAGGCCATTTGCCTTCGGCATCCCCAGGGAATGGTAAAGCAGACGACTTGGTCCACAACAGAAGACAATGTGGGCTGTAGCCCACTGGGAGACCTGCCCGACTTTTAGGGAAGTCAGCAGAGCCTTAGCAGATGTGCATTGTGACTGCATCTCACAGCCACGCCTTGGACATTTTGACACATGGACCAGTGATGGCTGGCCAATCTGACACCTTGGGGAGAAGGCTTGGAAACTGGTGTCCTGTGTGTTCCTGGAATAACCACAGAGTGGTCCTCCCAAATTCTGGTAGTGTACCCAAAATGGTAAGAGTATCTTACCAGGGAGTTTTGTCTTATCACTGTGGCCAGTGCATGTGGCTCCCGTAGCCCTTCATATAAACCCATGAGTAACTCCCACAGGAGAGGGGTGAAGGTCTGGTATGCTAAAGCAGGATGGGACCCAATTCCTGCCACTGTCTTATCACAGGACCACTCTCTTACATGCATCCTACCTGATGGACATTTGTCTCTGTAGATAACATTAAAACATGTTCTTATTACCCTTATGGTAATTCTCTTCTACAGTCTTAGTTGACTGGGCATGCCCTCCAACAACAGCTGCTGCCTGCTTCGCATGCCTGGAGACCCCTGCCGGTTCAGCTGCTGGCCTCCCGTGGACATGTGAGTTATGGACTCAGTCTGAGTAGGACTTTGAATGCAGCTGGCTCCGCAGGCTTGAGGACTGTTATGGTTTTTGTTAGGCTGGAGGAAGGAAAAAGGACATGCAAACAGAACAGAGAGATACCATAGGGGGAGAACAGACCAGACCCCAAGGTCCATGCCTTATATGGAAAGGGGACAGCTCTTCCTGAATTCCATCCTTCTAATGTGCCAACTAAGACCCGGATGTCAGCCTCCTCCCTCTTGGAAGGAAAAAAGTTTCTAGTTATCTATTATGTCACCTTTAGCCAATCATACCTCCCATGCCCCCTAGGAAAACTTGCCCACTCCTCCCCCTCCTAATCCCTTATAAGCCCCCACCTCCCTGACTGGGTGTGAAATCTCCAGTCTGTAATACCCAGGCCGTGGAACATCACCCGGGGGTGCACTCAAATAAACTACCTGGCCCTTTGTTGCCTTTCTTCACCTGCTTATTTCAGCTAAAATTTATCTTACATTTGGTGCCCAAACCCAGGAAGGAGTGTGAGCACAGGGCCCCGACTGGCCACCAGTGGCCCCACCCCCTCCTTCCCCGACCCAGGACCTCAGCCTGCTCTCCGCTGCATGGACTATTTTCCGGTGAGTCCCTCAGTTTCCCCCAGTCTGTTTCCCTCCCTAATTGCATTTCACCTGGTCCGTTAGAAATCGTACGTATGTCCAGGTGGCCCACCCTCTGCAGGCATCTGGCCTGCCCCTGGCCCTGTGGTATGGGAGACGTCCCTACCCCAGGCCCCAGCACATCTGCGGGCTCCCCTGGGCCTGCGGTGGGGGAGACGTCCCTCACCCAGGCTCCCAGGACGTCTCCCCTGACTTGGCGTGCTTGGGATGCTGAGTGCCCTTCTCAGCGGGATTAGTCGGGAAGTGGCGCAGACACGAGGAACCAGCCCTCAAAAGCAGAGCTCAGATTCCACTGTGGTGTCTCATTTCTAATTTGGCTACTCTATATTTGTCCCGGCAAGTTCGCATATAGAAGCTAGTCTTCCTTTGCTCTGAGGCCGGGCCTGAGTATCCCTTAGACAATCAATCTCACTGGCCCCCTGAGGGAACTTTCAATTTTAGCCTCCTCACCACCTTGATTAATTATTGCCACTGGAGCAGAGATTAGAGTGAAATCCCATATGTGCAGGCCTTTTGGACTTTGCACTCCCGCCCAGACCTTTATGTTAGGTGTTCAATGACTCAGGTTCTCCTAGTCCGATCTCCAGTTACAGATTGTCAGCCTCTTACTCTGCTCAGTCCTTCTTCCTTTTCAGATCCTCCAGAAGACCTCAGTTGCCCGCCTCCCTCAGCTCGCGATGCCCACCCTTCTCTCCACCACCATCTTTAAGTCCTTTGTCTTCACACATGTCACTGCCATCTTAAAGTCCTGCATTCTCAACCATGCCACTGTCCTGCTCTCCTCTTCTGGTGGCTGCACCAACCCCTCCCCATCTCATTACGCCTTCACCGCCCTCTTCCCCCACCAGAACACGCTCCTCCCGCCCTCTAGTTCCAGAAGCCACAGACAAGAAGCTGAAGAGAAGGAAAGCAATTGCATATCAGTGACTCAAGTCTTCACATCAGTTTGTCTGTCTGTGTATATGTTTTTGTGTGGGAGGTGTTGCTGACTGTAGTCATTATATCTCAGTTTGTACATTTGTGTGTCTAGGTGTATAGATGAAAAATATTTTATTTAAAAACAAGCGCTTATGAAAATTGGACATCCTAAAACTTCCAAAAAATCTGATAAAAATGTTAAGCATTAATGCTAATTTGGATTTGGCTGAGGTGGGCATGTCCTTGTTGTTATCAGCTGCCTAAGTATACCTAACGTCATTTCAGTCGATGTTATCTCTAAATATTTTAAGAATAAAATGCTTAAAGGCTTGGCTTTGTCTAATATTCAGTAAAGGTTTTGTAGGTAATCTAGCATAGTTGCTAAAAATAAGTAAACAAGCCTAGCAAATAAATATCTTAATAATAATACTGTATTAATGTATAACAGTGTATATATATGCAAACAGCCTGAGAATTTTTGTAGTAACCAAAATTCTTAAAGTTTGCTAAGTTATATAGACATATTTTGTGCCTAATAAGAAATTGTGCTATAAAGCACATTTCCAAAAATGATATTATACATTCATAGATGTATCAATCTGAAGAATGTTAGTATAACAGTTTATAGTAGCCTATTTTTGTTCACTGAAAGTTAAAGTAATAGTTTTAAGTTCTAATCAAAACTACTTAAAGTAGTAAGGAAAACATTTCTGCATGCTAAAAAATATATCTTTTAATAAAAGAAAGTAACTTTGTTCTAAAGTACAGCTGTTTATTTAGAAGGAGAAATCTAAATGTAAAAAGAAAGTTGTAAAAAGTTTGTAGAAGAATTTAATATGGTCATGCTATATAAAATTAAAGCAAATGAGTCGCAGTATTAAGTACACAGCAAAATTAGAATTTTGTTTTCAGTTAAAAGGACAAAGTTTTCTCAACTGTTAGTCTGCTCTTAATATTGAAAGAATCCAGAGAGTTCTTCTAATTGTTTTATCAAGGCAGTTTCTTATGCTTAAAGTCTCAGTGAGTTGTCAAGAGTCTTTAAGAAAATGAGATCTTAATATTAAAAGGACTAAAAGCTAAACTTTGCTAACAACTGTGTAACATTCTTTATTTGCCTTTGAAGTAATTTGTTGTCATTCTAGTTAATTGGATAAGTATTGCTTCATGGCAACCTATAATCCTATTTAAGCAATGCCAAAAAACTTTCTTCTGACAACTTCCCAAAATCAAATTCAAAAAGGTACTTTTACCTCTAGTTAACTCTGATATTTTCCAGAGGGCCCCTGGAACATGTCAGAGGAACTTTTTCTCATTGGAGAAAGTATTTGGCTAATTTAGCTTATTTATCTGATATACAATTACCTGCTTAATTACCTAGAAAGCACTGTCAAAAAGAAGAATGCTAAACTTTATTACTAAATGTTTGTGTTACAAAAATATCAGAATTTCCTTATGTCAACTGTCTTACAGTAAGCTCTCATCAAATCTTTAACCATTGTTATTTGTAAGTCTTATTATTTATAGTCACTGTTTTATTACTCTTAAGCTAGTAAAGAACTAGATTTCAGCAGAACAGGTATTAGTTATATAGGATTAAGTAAACTAAGGAAGATGACTTTGTGGCTTTTTGTTTCAAATGTTGTTGATAAAGTGTTTTAAGCTTTTTTCTCTTAAGCTGACAGCAGTTTAGTAAATGACTGCCTTTATAAGCAGAATTGAAACTTTATCTTTCTCTCTACCTGATCCCTCCAAAATTTAAAAACTCTCAGTGACTATTTTTATATTTAATGGCAGTATGTTTATTTGCACAAGTTCAATAAGAATCTGCTTTCCTTATAAAAGGACCAATTAAAAACACTGGTTATATTACCAAGGCTTTGACTAGAACATCATACCTGAGAGACATGTCTGTAAACTCAGATATGAACAGACATCTTTAAAGAACTAAGATTGACTTTATAAAGCCAACAAAGCCCCTTGGAAGAACTGGCCTGGTAACTTGCTTACAGAGTTCCCAGCAGCCTTACCAGGTGAGTAAAGAAGGTCACTGCCTGACAGGTGCAGGAACCTCAAGAATGTCTTGAGAACCTCAGAGAAGAGAAGAATTCACCCAAATGTACAGGTACTGCAGGCACAACCTGAGAGAAAGTCTAGCTTGGCTTTCTGGCCTCAAGAAATCTTTAAAAGTCCAATCTAAAATTCCTTATAAAAAGTTCCAGCAAAGCATATTTAAAAGAGCCTATGTAATCAATTGCTCTTCTTGCTGTACTTATGCAAATAATCAAGCCAACTGTTAATTATTTTCTTAATCTAGCTACTTCTAATAAAAATGAGGGTGATTTTAGAGAAAAGTATTGTTTCAATAATGCAGTCTTATCTATACTAAATCCCAATACTAGTCATTGAGATGTAAACTCAATCCAGAATTCCAGTCCCCCATAATGGCCTGGCTAATGCCCCTACTAGGCCCCTTAATAACAGTTGTGGTTTACTCTTAGTAGCCCCTTGTGTCCCCAGGTTCCTCCAACAGCGGCTAACCCAGATGACCCGGGCTGCCACCAACCAGATGTTACTTCACCATTATTCACCTCTTCCCACTGAGCCCCCTCCTTCGGCCTCATACCAGCCTCAAACCCCCACGACGCCCCTTGTCAGCCGGAAGTAGCCAGATTGAGTCGTCGCCCATTATGACCAAAAGGCTGGAATGTTAGGCTGGAGGAAGGAAAAATAAGGACATGCAAACAGAACAGAGAGATACCATAAAAGGAGAACAGCCCACACACCAAGGTCCATGCCTTATATGGAAAGGGGACATCTCTTCCTGAATTCCATCCTTCTGATGTGCCAACTAAGACCTGGATGTCAGCCTCCTCCCTCTTGGAAGGAAAAAAGTTTCTAGTTATCTATCATGTCACCTTTAGCCAATCATACCTCCCACGCCCCCTAGGATAACTTGCCCACTCCTCCCCCTCCTAATCCCTTATAAGCCCCCACCTCCCTGACCAGGTGTGACTTCTCCGGCCTGTAATACCCAGGCTGTGGAACATCACCCGGGGGTGCATTCACATAAACTACCTGGCCCTTTTTTGCCTCTCTTCACCTGCTTATTTCGGCTGAAATTTATCTTACAGTTTTATTATCTGTAACATAATTTCTGCTGTTATTTGTTCATTGTTAATCTGTTTACAGTGCCATAGCTTTCTTTGCACTAGGCCACTGTGGAAGTTTGGGGGCACAGAAATTGTGAGGTGAGAATCCTGGAGGGATGGATTGTGGGGAAAATGGAACATTTTGACCAGGATTCCCACTTGACCTTATTAGAGTTGTTTGTACATTTATGGGATACTCCGTGGCAGAGCTGCTGGTCAGTCATGGAATTTCTGGTCCAGGCTAGGGGTGGAAAGGAAGCACCCATTCTATCCTCTCTTCTGTTCCTGGTATGTAATCAGTCAGGCACCTCCCAGTCACTGGAGACCCAGCCGCAGAGTTGTGCCCAGCACAGTAGCATGGCTGAGCAAAAGCTGGGAGAGAGAGACCTGAGCAGCTGGGGTTCCAAGTGAGGAGAAGCTGAGTTTGAGAGTAAACCCTTTCATCCCCCACATTTTGCCCTTGTCTTCCTTGGATCTAATTGAAATTCATAGAGAACTTGCCCCAGGCAGGGGACTCCCTCCTCCCAGAGCCTCACCCACCTTTGAGAGGAATTCCTCTGCTAGATGGTTTTCATTCATGCTTCTGCACTGTAACTAAGGGGAAAACATGTAAAATCCAATATGCCTTTTGGGCTTGTGCCTTTGCAGGTTGCTAGCAGATTTCATGCTTGGGAAGTGAAAACCCTATACTGATGCTAACCCTCTAAGAGACAGGAAGGAAAAGGAAAACGAAAGGGAAACAAGTTCAAGATTTCTACTGTATTCTAGGAGCTCTGACAGGGGCACATTACAGGGAGGGGGAACCAAGTGTCAGGAGTAGCTTGAGGGATGAGCCAGTCTAAAGAGAAGGTGGAGCAGTCCCCAGCCCCCACAAACGCTGGCTGCACCAGGCGTCCTGTGTGAGTGATGGCTGGAGGGGAGCAGGGCCACCCAAGTGACACAGGGGCCACCCCCTCTACACGTCTCCTGCAGCTGACACAACCCAGAGGGCCAACGTCAGGGGACTATATCAAGCATCATCCTCCTGCTCCCAGGATCCCCAGAGCCTGGGAAGTGGGTGAGGAGCCTGCTACTCAGCGGCCAGTTGTTTATACCTGTCTCTGCTGCAATCTGGTGCATTAGTCTAGGCCCACCCTGGTAGTGCATGAGATCATCCCCAGGAGCATTAATGTCCCCAAGCCCTCCTAGCCTCAGAAATTGGGAGGTGAGGGTGTGGACTACTCCTTGAGCAGATCAATAATATGGGTTTGTAGAAACCAAGGTGCAAGCATCTTCCCTTTCACCAACTCTTTTTAGATCTTCAAAACACATAAGGGAAAGGAGGGCCTGAATGGCACCCTAGTCCAAGGTTACAGAGGAGGTGAGCTGGACAGTTACTCACAGGTAGAAGAGCACCAGGCTGGTAGCCAGGAGGACCCAGGTTTCTGTGGAAAAGCTTGGGATCAGGTCCATGGCCGCTGTCCTACCGAGAGTCTCTCCTCTGAGTTTCCTTCCACAGGATGAGCTACTCTTTGCTGGTCTGTATGTGCAGATCTTTCCTTCCCACCCAGCAGGATTCTGTGAGGCTGGCATATTTATGTGCTGGGAGATGGGGTGGGTCTGGGCTGCAGCCAGTAGAAGCATGTCCCTGTGCTTCACCTGCAGATGTCTCTTGATCTTTATAGTTGACAGAGCATCATGGACACACCCAGCTGAACACACTGGGAGTTAATATTTATAGGAAACCAAAAAGGCAACGTTATCAGGTAGTTTAAAGGTTACAGATATTCTATCAAAGGGCCTTAAATCGCCAGTCTGCCCTTGTTGCCACGGCTGCCCCAAATCCAAACTACTTGAAATCTTTCAAACAAGCTAGGTTACCGCATCTTTACCGATGCAGTTTCCTATTCCTAGAAATGTGCCTGGGTCCCCTGGAAGAATCCTACTCCTCTTTCAATACCCAGCTCAGACAGAGCCCTTTCTGTAATAGTCTTTCACCACCAACCTCCTTGAACAGATAAAGCACATCCTCCCCGGGGCAACCTCTCCCCCCACCAATTCTATTATTGTCTTCTCTGCCCTGCAGCTCCATTGCTGGTCTCTGCACCTAGAGCTCTTAGCAGATTGAGCACTTCTCAAGGGCCCATCTAGGTGTCAGTCACCACTATGACCCTAGTCCCTAGCAGAGCATTCCATGCTTGTTGGTGGAGGGGAGTTTTCTGGGCCCCCATGTGTCCTGTTCCTGTGGCTTTGGGTGACCACACCATCTTCCTGGGTATTAATACACAACAAGAGGGCCTGGTTGTGCATGTGCCACCATCTCTGCACCTTAAGGCTGAGGGTCAGGATCCCGTTGATAAGAAGGCTCCTGAAGAGGAGGCAGGACAGGGATGGGATGGTGATGGCTGCACCAGGCAATATCAATTTGTGTTGCTTCCCATCCAGCCCTGCAGAGGGTCCTGCAGTGGACAGCCATCTGACAGATTCTACACCAAAGACTGGCTGCCTTGCCTGGAAAGATCAATGTCCACAAGCAGTCGGTGTTAGGGAGAAAGAGGAGAAGTAGGCTCAGATTGCCAAGTGGACCCCTGTCTTAGCCACTAATGACATGGCAACTGTCACATCACACACAGACACACAGGACTCCAAAGAGGTGATATGAGCTTTTTCTTTGGGGCAAAGGGGTTGGAGCAGATGGCTTCCTGCTTTTTGGTGAAAAGGGTTTTTAACAGGCAGTGAGGGGCTGGTAAGGGTAAGGAGCAATCAGAGCCTTGTGTGAGCCCTGCCACATGCCTGCAGGAGAAGCTCTGAGGGCTTAGAATCAGGGAGTCACCCCAGCTCGTTGCTCACTCTGACCAGTGCCCCTCTGCCTGGCCTGGGAAACCCATGTTTATGTGGCTACATAGCTCTGGAGTGTGACAATGGTCCACAAAGAGGTGATTCAGGAAGGAAATGGTCACAAGCTTGAACACTAGCAAAGGACAGACTGGGAATCTGGAAGATGACCCAGAAAAAGTAGGAAAGAAAATCCCAGGAAACCCAATAAATCTGCCCTTTCTGGTGCCCTCATGGGGTACAGTTTAATAGGGTGATGTTATGGTTCTCATTTTACAGAAGTAGGAACTGAGGCTCCGTGGCTGCAAGTGGTTTCCCAAGAGCCATTGGTCACACACACAGCATACCATAAATAAGCTAACATGAACACAGGTTGAAAAGTCAGTGGCTCTGAAACACCGTTCTCAATGTTTGCCCTTCCCTGATGAGGGTCACTGGGGAAACAGTGAGACCCAAGGCCCAGCCTCCTGCCCAGGTAAAGCTCTACCCTGTTTCCATGGAGACTCCCCTCCATGGGTGTCCAGGACAGAGGCTCCACCTCCCCCAGCAGGAGCACAGGGAACCCAAGTCACGACCATACTGAGGGGCTTGTCCCCTGGGATCTCCCTCCCTGTGTTCCCAGCCAGAGGGGCACATGGACTTCACCCAGTCAAGGAAATATTAGTGTCACCTGAGAACAACTGACAACTTAATTCTCTCACCTGACCACAAAGCCTCTCTTATTCTTCTTGGAGACAAAACCCCTGTGGGAACTAATATGATTTCATCTTTCTCAAAATGCATAGTGGCCTCTGATGATTTCATAACTAAACTTAATGTGACCATCCGCCTGCATGTTTACCTTGGGGCCTCGCCCAGCTGGTTGGAATCTATCCCCACAGCACTAGGCTAGGTCATTGCCGGGAGTCTAGTAGCCAGCACGGTGTCCTAACCAGGGCAAAGGCGTGGCTCTACCATGGGAAACAAAAGAAGGCACAGTCTCTGAGCCCTTCCCTTCCATGAAGGGAGCAGCCAACATGGGACTCGAGCACTTAGAGTCGTCTGGAGATGCCCTCACACCCTGTGCCTCTCATCTACTCATCCCTGTACTAATGACTCATCGTGTGCTTTCAATACTTCCCTAAATGCTAGGGGTACAAATGTGACTGTGACCAGATATTACTCAGATTAACAGGTAATTATGGTACAGCCTTACGTCATTTACACAGGTAGGAGAAACATAGCACCCTCATCCAGAGAGAAGAGCTTATCTGCTTTCTCTATCGCCTTAGCCATCAGTCAAAATTGAATCTCCAAGAACATTCAGGGAAGCATTAGTCTCAGCTATCAGGGTAGGTGGACAGGCTGTTAGGGCCTCAGGGAGGCACGGAGCACCATCAGTCTGAGTCACGGTCCTGTTATATTGTTAGCCAAGGATCATGTCCTCTGATAAGCTTGTCCTGGCTTTTACAGGCCAAGAGAACTGCTTGGGGTAGGGGAGAGAGTGTTGTTCTGGAATGGTGTGGGCACTTGACTCGCATTTCACAGTCAGAGTCTTGAATGTGTAACAAAGAAAGCTGATTACATGTCTGTAACTCAGCTCTCAAGCCTCCACTGTTCCCAGAGGGTAAAATTTGATGGTGCCATTTAGGGTAATGGTTGAAATCTACATTTTGGTGGCCAGGGGAGTAACCTACTCTTCTGGCCCTCCTGGCTTCAGGGTAGGGGGAAGTGGCAGTACATTCTTCACAGTGGAGGAGGTATGCAACTCTCCCCCACTGCCATAATGTGGCAGTATGCCTGCTGTGTACTAAGGACTAAGTGTAAAAGAGTGAAAATCCTTGCCTTTATGGACCCCACACTTTATGGAGAAGAGATACACTAAAGAAATAACCACTCTATGTTATGATTGAGATTTTTGTACCTTCATTCCCTCACCCACCACACACTCCCATCCCCTCCCCTCCCACATCATAACAACCAGTCACTTCCCAGTGTCTGAGTCTACTGCTGTGTGTTAATTTTGATTTGTAAGTTGGTCATGGGGATATAGTACAGCATGGAGAACATAGTCATTGGTTCTGTAACATCTTCCTATGTTGACAGACAGTAACTACACTAGTGGGCATGAAGATTTAATAATGTGTGTAGCTGTTGAGTCACTGCTGTGTACTTGAAACCACTGTAAGATTGTATATCAACTGTAGTTCAAGAAAAGAAAGAACTTAAAATAGTAAGCACCTGGGATCAGATTCAAGATGGTATAATAGGAAGGCAGTAAGGAAACCTCCTCCCAAAAGCACCTAAGAAAGGAAAACACAGCAAATGTAACTAGACCTAGAAACGACATGAACACTGCAGAAAAGATCCCCTACATCTGAGGAAGAATAGAAGACCACACAGAAAAGGGTGAGGCGGCAAAGCTGAGATTGAGTGGGACCCAAGTCCTCCCTTGATAGCAGCCTACAGGCAGGAGAAAGAGGAATGGAGCACAGAGGGGATAGGAGCCCAGGAGTGCTGAACACCTGGCCCAGGAGATCTGCTCTGGCATCATAAGCCCACATTACTTTGTGTTCTGGTGATAATTGGGGCCAGACAACAGGGGCAGGTGGAATAATCTGGGAGGCTGAAACTCCAGCCAATGTGGAGGCCAGGCACACTCAAGTTCTGAGACCCAAAGCACAGGTGGCAGATTGAAAGATTTTCCAGCAGTGGGAGGGACATGAGAGGTGATGAGGGTTGGCTGGGACTCTCTCCTCAGAAGAAAGGGCAGGTGGAAGACACCTCCCCAGCCCTTCCTCAGCCCAAGAGATCAGGAACCCTTGGTAGCTCCAGACACTCCATGCCCCTTGCTGGCAATGCGTCCCTGAGGCACCTCCCTGTGTGCTGCTGGGAACCAACTCACTTGGCCCAGCAGCAGCATCAGACTTTGCTGCCTGGCAGGCAGAGGGAGGCTCTCCCAGCTTGCTTGGCTCCATTTCAGCCCAACCATAGAGGTGCCTGGAGGAGCAAGCCCCAAGAGCTCCTTCCTCCCTGCAGGTGTCCAAACCCAGTGCTGTGCAGCACATTGGTCCACCCATCCCATTAACCCTGCAGCTCCACCTTTGCTGCAGGCCAGGCAGAGTGCAGTCCCACCCACTGAGCTCAACAGGGGTTCCTGAGCTGATCACAAAGGCTGTCGCTCAAACAAACTTCCCACCAAGACTTAGACCACTACAGAAGCCAGAAAGAAAGGTGCCCTACCCATGGCACATGAACAACTGGGACCCCTGCAAGACAGAGCCAGGAACTAGAGAGTAAATAATCTTGTACTTCTGAGCACCATAGCATACCTTCTCCATAAAGCTATTACTCTTTAGACCAGAAAGCATAGCTGAGACATCTATTACAAAGGAACAAACACAGAATCACTGACAAAATGAGCAGAGGAACTTCATGTAATCAAAACTACAAAGAACCACAGAAAGAGGGCAAAATGAAACACAGATCACCAATCTTCTTGATAAAGATTTCAAAATAAAAGTCATAAACAAGCGCACAGATACACATAAAAGTATTCAAGATCTCAGGGGGACTTCAACAAAGAGAAAACCTGAAAAAGAACCACTCAGAGCTGAAGAATACAATATCTGAACTGAAACATACAATGGAGGAATTTAAAAGTAGATTAGATTATGTGGAGGAGACGGTAAGTGAAACAGGAATTAGAGAACAGGAAAACAAAGAAGCTGAGGAACAGAGAGACAAAGGGATCTCTAGGAAAGAAAAAATGATAAGAGAGCTATGTGACAAATCCAAGTAAAATAGTATT